CTGATGTTTAAAACTTTCTTTAACTTCTAGCCTGAACCTATTTATGCCAACTGTTCCCACTTGTTTTATGCCAACAGTTTTCTAGTTTCTACTCTACACAGTGTCCTTTGTCCTGACTCCGGAACAGTTCTGGTAAACAACTGATGATTGTCAGGCTTTGCTTTGTTTTGCTAAATAAGGCAAGCATTTTCATTTCTTATTCAGTGAGTTGTTCATTCATACAATCATGGAATGGTTAGTTGGAAAAGACTTTTAAGACTAAGACTTCTAAAAGTGTTCACCCATTAATCCAGCACTGCCACGTTCATCACAAAACCATGTCCCCAAGTGCCACATCCACATGTTTTCTGAACACTTTTAGAGATAGTGATTCCATCATTTCCCTGGGAAGGCTGTTGCAATGCTTGAAAACCTGTTCCATTAATAAATTCTTCCAAATAAAACCTCTCCTGGCACAACTTGAGGCCATTTCCTCTTATGATATTGTTTGTTATCTGGGAGAAGAGACTGACCTCCACCTGGCTACACCCTCTTCTCAGGGAGTTGTAGACAGAAATAAGGTCCCCCCTGAGCCTCCTTTTCTCCAGGATGAGCCCCCCCCCCTGCCCCCAGCTCCTTGTAACCTTTATCTGAATCTATTCCCATTTGCCTTAATCTGTTTGGGATATAGCCAACAAACCTGCATTTTTAATGAGGTGCAATAGTGCTCTATATAATGCTGTTAATACTTTCCTTGCTTTACTGGAAATACTTTTCCAGATACATCCAGTATCTTGTTTGCCTCCTTATGGCTGCAATTCACTGATCACTGTTATCATGTAACTCACACGGTGTTGGTCAAGGTGAGCTCTCATTTAGTGGCAGAAATAGTTTTTAGTCCAGGAGAGCATAGGTTTGCCCTTGTCCTCAGAGGCTTTTAGCTCATGTCTGTCACTCCAGCCCTCATTTCTTCCTTGCGTTTGTCCTCGGCACTGGCTGTCGTAAATGATAACCATCAAGCTTGAGTAATCAGCAGCCTTAATTAGTATGGTCCTATTTTGTGATAATTTTGTTAATTTAGGGAAAAAAAAGAAATTTCAGAAACTGTTAGAGGTGGTGAGTCAGGGTGATGGGAGCTGACAGAAGGTGACAGGAAAGAAAGAACTGGGGAAAGGTGCCCAGTGTTAGGCACAGGAATGAGATGAAGAGGGGGCGCGGAGCTCACGAGGGAGAAGTGAGAACTTGATCAAATGAAGGCTCCTCACGTTTTCCACAGCATTAATTAAGCCTCATGGAGACATACTTGGGATGGATGAAGACACTCCAAAATCCCAGAAATAAATGATTAACTCATGACTTTCTGCATTTTGACTTTTCAAGAGTAACATCTCTGCTGCTTAACTTTGGACGTCCCTTTTTTTTTCATAAGTTTTCAAAGTGCTCTGAAAGTTTAAAGACTTATTTTCTAAAAGCATTTTAAAAGTACTGAATCCTAAAAGCACTTTAAAAGTCCTGAACTGAGAGGATTATGAATCTTGAATAATTTATCCACAAAACTTGAAAGGGAGAGAATTTGCTTAGGTCTTTAAAATGTATATGATAAATTTTCTTATAGATTGGAACGACTCTGAAAGACTTTTATCCAGATAAGTACATTCAGCACTTATTAGAAGTCACAGGCAATAGCAATTAAGGCATAAGGCGTTTCCTGGGAATTAATGTGAAGCTGGGAGGAGTTGGGATGGCTCGAGATGCAGCTGAGGGCCATTAAATTCAGTTGATGATTAATGACCTCTGCTGAGGTCATTATTATTATCAGCTGAAAACATAGAAAAATCCAGATGTATGGCTTTTTTTAATAGGAGTTGCAGTTTCAGTTGGTGCAGTAGAATTGTCCCCACTGTGGATAGACTGCCCTGTATTAATATCAAATAGAGGCTTGATTTTCTTCCTCCCCACGGCATTTTTAGGAGTGTTAATCAAAGCTGGATCTCTGAAGCTGTGCCAGTATCAAATTGAAAAGTAAGCAGAATAAAGTCCATAGTGCTTTACAGTTCTCCCAGTGTAGCAGTGGCATCCAGCACTTAATCAGCTTTTTTTAGAGATACTCCATCTATCCCTTTCAGTGCCTAATGAGAAAGAGTTTCGGGATTGCCTAGGAACATGCCCAGAAAATTCCTTGTGCTCCCTGTTCTTGGACCCACGTTTGAAATTGTGTCCTACCTTCTTTTGCATTATGACTCCAACCATGACCTGGGTTCTGGGTTGTGTTACAAAGAGGGTGGGTACACAGCACTGGCTGATGCAGGCAAATACTGCTGCATCCATACAGGTAGGATCTCTTTCCTAATAAATAGTCACTCATAACAGATACTTCCAAGTGTTCAGACAAGTCCATGCATGGTTTCTTCCATGGTTGGTGAAAGTTTTTTTTTTTAATATGATGAATTATTTCATTTTTGACTTGTAGGGAAAATGAGAGCTACTACAGGGGACTAGATATATAAATATAAATACCTTGATATCTCTCATAGAATCATAGAATTGTGTAGGTTGGAGGAGCCTTTAAGATCATCAAGTCCAACTATTAACCCAGCACTGCCAAGTCCCCTACTAAACCATGTCTATATATGTATTAAAGCTTGTTTACTTCAAGATGCTTTTTCAAAATGTACTGAAGAAGTCTGAAATAGGTAACATAGGTGTCATAGAGACATGAGTTTTAATTAGTCACTTTAATTTGGACTATGTTTCTGAATGCTGTGTGAGTCCTACTTTACATGGATGCTGGGCTCCTGTCCCTTTCTCTCCCTTCCCCCAGCCCATTTAGCCTGGTCATTGTGAAGGTTGTAGCATCAAATTTCCAAGCAGGACAGGACTGAAATGGTTCCTGCTTCTGGCTGACCTTTATATAAATGCCACTGGATGAAGACTTCTGCTCAGGAAAATGGAATTTTTCAAAAATGTCAGCAAAGCAGACAAAAAGCGTAACTCGCGTGGGAAATGTTGACAATTTGTACATTAGGTGGTATGACTAGACCCGCTTGTACAAACCTAACAGCATCACACTGTTTTGGGGATAGCTGTGTGCCTTTAGTCACCCTCAGCCAAACCACGGAGCTCTCGCCTCTCTTTTTTCTTTCCTTTTTCTTTTTTTATTCCTCCGAAGTGTCTCCTGCGGTGAGAGGAAGAGGTGAGCGAGGTCAGGCAGAATGAAATGAAAAGCATGAAAGCTTAATAGACCACAGGGAGGTTCCTTTGAAAGGGTGCCAGAAATGGAATATCAGTTATGGGGAAGAAGACCACAGAGTTGGCAGTGAATGAAAGGAGATCTGGTACATGCGCATTGGTGTGTCACAATCTTTGCCATGGCCCTGGTCTGTTTTCTCAGTTAACTCTTTAACAGATATCTCAGGCTGACAGTAGTTACTCCCCCAGTGCCATTAGTGCTCCCTAATGCAGCTGCACTGTGCTTCAGGATACATTTTTTCTGAGTTCTGAATTTTTTGTTTTGCTTGTAAGCTCAACAGATGAGAACTGAAGTATTGATGAGATTACATAAATTGCATTTTCTTTTTTATCTTCTGCAGTCTTTGCCAGTTATTCACTCTAAGGATAAGAAATTGTTTTCCTGGATGAGAAGAAAAGAAGTCATATTTTAAAACACGTAAAACCCTACTGACTTGCAGAGATAGCAAAGAAAACATAGAATCACAGAATGGTTTGCATTGGAAGGGACATTAGAGATCATCTAGTTTCAACCCTGCTGCCATGGGCAAGGACATTTTCCACTAGACCAGGTTGCTCCAAGCCCCATCCAGCCTGGCCTTGAACATGTCCTGGGATGGGGCAACCACATCAGGTTGTTGTAATTATACATTAGGTTATTGTAATTATACAAACCTCTGACATAATAGCCCTCAGTGTATGAAATGGTGTTGCAAATCATCTCAAACACTGGATTTTTCAGGATAAAGCACTCTTAAGAGAAAGGGCTTTGCTCTGGCTGATTGTCCATCTTCTAAGACTTCAAATCTTGGTTGCAGTAATTCAAATGCTTGGAATTGATGTGCAACTCAGTGGATGACAGTCTGAAATTTGGGTAAATGCAAAGGCTGGACTAAATGATAACTCCCCCCCCTTTCGGCCTTAATATTTTATGAATCTGTACTTGTGGGAATGAAAAGACCTGTGCAAGTACCAGAATTGATTTAAGGATTTTGCTTTTATTTGATGGTGTGGAACTGGTCCTCTGCATGCTCACAGCTTACAGAGAAATCACAGAGGGTCTGAGCCTCCAAGGCTGCCAACGTACCTTGAATTTCTGTTCATCTCCAGGTCCGTGGATGTGGTACACTTCAGACCTTTCTTTTACAATGTTGAAATATCCATATTTTTGTCATGTTCTTTTGAAAGTGTTTCTACAGCCTGAAATTTGTCTTTGGGACAGGTCACTGTTTTCAGTTACCCAATTTGTTTCCCAGATGCTACAGGAACTCTCAAGGAATGACTGTGTTTCTGCACTAAGTATTTAAATGACAAAACATCCAGAACAAACATATCATGCAATACAAATGACACTGTGTGTCAGTGCTGATGTGGATGTAACCCTCAGTTCCAGCCTTTCTCTGCTGACTCCATTGTAATTCAGCACAATGATTGCTTCTGTAGAGATGAACCCACAGTTGTCTGGTGTTTTCAGTCATGTGCCCTTTTCAGCTTCATTTCATGTGTCACTGTGGCAGTTTTGCTCAACTTCTGTGAGAAGTTCAATAGCTGCTGGGTTCTCAATTTGCAGTCTTCTTCCCCCAAACTTTTTGCAGAGTCCAGCACTACCAGACCAGTGCTTTCCTCAATTTGTTTTCACAGAGCCTTTATTACTCTATGGACACCTGCCCCCAAAGGCCACAGTCTGAAACCTCCTGGTTAAATGGTTGTCAAGTTTCAGATTCTCCTTTGACGCAGACTGATGTGACGGAGCACAAAATTAATCCTCAGCATTGTTTCTTTTTAATTTGCAGGAGAAATTCGAAGGCTTGTTCCGTGCCTATGATGACTGTGTGACATTCCAGCTGTTCAAAAGCTTCAGGCGTGTGCGGATAAATTTTAGCAGTCCCAAATCAGCTGCTCGTGCCAGAATAGAGCTGCATGAAACACAGTTCAGAGGGAAGAAGTTAAAGTTGTATTTTGCACAGGTAATGAAATCTGGAATCTACTTCTGTCAGTGAAGAGCTTTTATAGAAATATTGTGCAGCATCACCAAATAAAAGTAATAAAGGTTTATCCCATGCCCAATCTCTCTTCTGAAAGATTACTCAAACCTCCTTATGTTGACTGAACTGTACCTGCCCTGAGGGTCGGCAGTAAATTTAAAGGGCCACTTAGGACTAAAGTTGCTTATTCAAGGCACAGAATTACATAGCTTAGAGGTGATTTACAACAGTGGGTGTTGTCTGTGGGTAACTCTCTAAACCAACCATAAAAAAAGTGCTAATGTAAAGAATCCAAATGAGTAATAATTAAAAATAAAAAGCTGGATTACTTATTTGACTGCAACCCTGAGCCACAGTCAGGCTTCCTCCTGCCTTTTGGGTTTTTTTCCTTACTGAATACATGAATTACAAATATTGAATTCTCTAGAAAGAATTCATTAAGTTCAAGTAAAAGGAAGCAGGTAGGGGAAGAACAACACTCTCACGTTGGGGGCATAGATGATTATATCTGTCTACTGGAAGTGTCAGGTGGGGGCTCAGTTCTCCTTGGACAAGGGAGAAAGAACACAGACCTTCCACAGCCTGGGTGGGTAACAGGCCCCAGCCAGCATATAGAAAGGTGAGAGAGATTGAGAGCCCAACCACCACCTCTTCTGAATGCATTTTAATGAATTGCTGTGGCCACTGTGGCATATGAGATACCCACTAGTGTCTATGAGCAATGTAAGCATGCTTGAGCAATGTAAGCATGCTTTGGGCTGCCAGATTGGCCCTTCAGAGGTCTGAGATTAAGGGCTGACTCATTTGAAGGTACCAGGCAAAACCAAGAGGCTGTTAAATTGTGATCCTTTTCATCCAAAGTACTTGGTCAAAATAGGAGCTGTTTTGAGCCTCAGCAGGAGATGAGTTCAGAAGATCTTACAGTTGGATTTACGTGTTGAGAATCCGCCTCAATCCCATTTTATATGCCTTAATCTCCTAGATCTGGCCCTGGGTTTTTTTTTTTCTGAGAGGTTTCAAAACTTGCAGTTAAGCAGATCTGAGAACCATTTCACTCTTCCTGCACAATCAAGAGGTTAATTGGAAATTTGGGATAACAAGAAAAAGAAAAATGTGCACAATAGTGATTAGTCTCCCTATCTAAGCAGATTTCCTGCAGAGCCATTCTGGCATCTGCACTGTGCTCTCCAGTACACTCAGCCTTAAGAGAGCTTATTAGTCATGTCCAGGGATGAAGATGTGGAAGCAGCACAGTGTCTGGGGCAGTGTATGGCCTGAGCCAGGCTGAAGAACAACTTCCAGACCTAGAAGTTCTGGGGAACGTGGAGTTGAGAGACCCAGACTGGCTCTTTGCAAACCCATTCCAGTATGGCAGGATTGTCAGCACCCTGATGCATTTACTGTCATGGAAATGCAGTTTATTGTTCTGGGCTCGAGGTGGTTGTAACCTTGCTCAGGTATGGCTGTAGTATAATTCACTTATGCTGAGGCTTCTTTAACATAAAAGAAAAGATCAGGAATTAAACTAGATAATTTAAGATGGAAATAAGATGAGAACATTCAGTTGCAAATTACTAAGGAACATGATAGATTTCTTTATCACTTCAACTAAAGAAATGAAATATTTAGAAACCTTTCTGAAGTTACTTATGAGGCCTTGATGCAGGAATTACTGGTTTCTTGTGTAATATCTTTTTTTATTTAGGCATTTAGGCCAGGAGATCACAACAGCATCTTTTCAGCCTCAAAGATCTCTAAACTAGCAGCTGTGGATATCAAAGCTTTGTACTTATCCTGAGAGAAGGTATACAATAGGCACAAACAGTGTAGCTTTGCTGATGTAACAGCCCTCTGCTGTGCATTTACTGCAGAGGCACCATCTGTAAGGCTGAGATGAAATTCATCTCCAGGCCTTCTCTGCTGAGACTGACGTTGAAACCCTGCCTGGGTGGTATTTGGGATTAGAAGTGTATGGTTTGAGTAATCATTCCATTTAGCCATCCTGTGCGGATGAAAAGCTGGACATGACCTGGCAATGTGCACTGGCAGCCCACAAAGCCAACTGTGTCCTGGGCTGTATAAAGGGAACAGTGACCATCAGGAAGAGGGAGGTGATTCTCTCCCTCTACTCTGCCCTCATGAGACCCACTGGAGCGCTGCATCCAGCTCTGGGGTCCTCAGCACAGGAAGGACCAGGGCTTGTTGGAGCAGGTCTGGAGGAGGTACACGAGGGTGATAACAGAGCTGGAGTACCTCTGCTATGGAGACAGGCTAAAAGAGCTGTGGTCATTCAGCCAGGAGAAGAGAAGGCTCCAGGGAGACCTTATTGTGGCCTTTCAGTACTTGAAGGTGGCCTGTGAGAAAGACGGAGACAAACCTTTTATTGCAATAGGATAAGGGGGAGTAGTTTTGAATTGAAAGAGGGCAGATTTAGACTAGATGTAAGGAGAAGGTCTTTTACAATAAGAGTGGTGAAACACTGGCACAGATTACTCAGAGAAGTTGTGGATGTCCCATCCCTGGAAACAGTCAAGGTCAGGTTGGACAGGGCTCTGAGCAAACTGATCTAGTTGTAGATGTGCCTGCTCATTGCAGGAGGGTTGGACGAGATGATCTTTAAAGGTCCGTTCCAACCCAAACCATTCTGTGATTCTACCCTGTATAAAACAATGTCTTTTGTTATGCTTTAAAGATTCAGACCTCTGAGACAGATGGAGACAAGCTTCATTTGGCACCACCACAGCCTGCAAAACAGTTTCTCATCTCGCCTCCAGCCTCCCCACCTGTAGGGTGGCAACCAATAGATGATGCAACACCTGTCATCAACTACGACCTCCTTTATGCAGTTTCCAAGCTTGGACCAGGTAAGCTTGTGGCCCTTGGGTGAAAATGCGTCAGAAAAAGAAGACAAGAAATATCAACATAGATAATAGCTGTAGAGGGAATTAGCATAAAGTCTATAAGTTACTTTAATGCTTTGGATTTAAGTTGATGGATATCAACTGGTTCTTTTCTTCAGAATGAGTTCTGCCATATGTATGTACAGAATTGAATGTTACCTGCAGCTCATGAGTGCTGTTGGGTTGAACAGCAGATCAAAGCTTGCTTACAGAATTTATTGTGCTGGGGTTTGTGCTTAGATGAGACAATTGATGGTTTAGGCGGAGGCTGGACAAATGTTTTGCCGTGAACTTGAGGAGTTCTTAAATGACATCTGCTTGGTACTGCATTCCAAGATGCAGATACCTCATCAAATGTTTAGGCATTACAGCACCTCCACTGGAGTGGAGAATGTCTCACATTAACAAATTTGTCAAGAGAGAACTACCCTTCCTCAGTCCCAGCAGGATTGCTTTGTTAGGAATGCTCATTTTCTGCTGAAAACTGCAGGCAGGTAGAATGGGATAAGTTGTAGCCTCTGTTAACATAGAACAGATGTCAATGGGTAAGGCAGACAGGCTTTCTTCTGTCTTCCCATCTTCAGCTGATGCCAGTAATTGAAGATAGCTGGGATTTTCAAGCAGTGCTTTCCCTTAGAAAATGCTCATCTGATAAAACAAAAAGTTTTCAGAGGAGAGGGTTACTTTTGATTTAATTAAGTCATCTTTACAAATGGTTTTCTTTCGAAGCTGTTAAAGCATCCTCTTCTAAAAATTTCAAAATGGAAAAGGTTCCAGTTTCAGGTCTAAGCAGTATTGTTTAGAAATTAATCTAATTTACATTCATAAACCACAAGGAAAAAATAGCTTATTAAATTATGTTCATACCAAAATAAAACACTTCAGATCCAATCTAATAACAATTGGAGGGGTGAGCTTATGAAAATTTAGCAGTTTATTTTTGAAATTCTTGTGGGATGAGAGAATTGTTTTCTCCCCAGCGGTACAGGAGATGCTGCTTGCTCGCTCTGAGAGCAACTTCCACTTGAAGACATCTTATCACTGGGGCTCTTGTGCAACTGCACCAGAGTAACCCAGAGCTGGAGTGTGTGGGGTGCAGGAAGATGTTTCATGATTCACAAGGTTTGCTGGATTATCTCCTATCTTTTTGACATGGGATCCTTCACAGTGGGAAAATAAATATCAGGAGAGCATCAGAGATTCCTGTGGTTTATTCCCCTTCAGCAGGAAAGCCCACAGAAAAAGGCAGTGAAGTGTAATGCTTCGTACTATACAGCATATTATTATTTCCAGAATTGATACTTTGCTTCTAAACTGCTGAATAAAAGAAAAACAAAAACCTTTTTTTTCTTCCTTTTGATGCAGCAATGTTATAAATGGAAACATGTAAACGAATTCCTGAGCTAGCTGGGTAATAAATCAATTCCTATTCTGGAGCAGTGGAATGTGAAATATCACTCATTGTCCCACACACTGGGACAGCTTTGCGTGAAGGTCAAATTCACCAGGATTTAAGGAGCCTGAAGGGAGCAATATGAAAAGTCGCTGTGTGCTCTCTTCTTTCTATTTTTAGCACTCGTTAGAGGGATCAATTTTAGTTAACTGCAGCGGCGGGTTTAAAATAGTGTTGCTGTTCTCAGTCTGTACATTTACTATGTTTAGAATTTCATTGAAAAACAAATCCCACTGACACTCATTTCTTGGTATCGCAGCAGTAAGACATACTGGTGGGAATCAAATAGCACTGGTAGCCGCAGCAAAGGGAGATATTTTTTCCATTCAAAAACACAATTAAGAAATGTAACTATGGCTTATCGGCTATTGAAAAACACTGGCACAGTTGTTTACAGAGCTGTGAATGTTAGAGCCTGACTTCCAGGTCTTTAACTTGCAGGGAATCTTTGCTATGTTAAATCTAGCAATTTGGTAAAATAAATATCTAAGGACCAGGAAAACTCATGTGAGCTTGTAAACAGTGAATAGTGTCTTTGTATGTCCTCGGCACAAGGTGAATTTTACTGACCTACTTCACTGGGAATGCAAGATGCACCACTTGGACACGCTCCTTTCCCATTCCATGAATACAGGTCACCTCCTGTCACAGTATGCTGCCATAATCATCATAGCCACAAAATTAGAGACCAAAACTTTCCCTGGCTGCAAAACATTGGGAGATTTGCTCCAGAGTACAATGAATATGTAGGTGAGTTAAAAGATTTACTGTGTGCCCTCCTTTTGCAAGCTCAGTTTTTGGATAGGTGTTTTTGCTGCAGCAGTGACCGACTGGCGTCTCAGGGATCTAACGGAACAGGTTTCTTCCTGCTGTACTCAAAAGGAAGCTGGTTTTTGTTCCTTTCACTTTAAATTGAGATCAGTGAGGGTGCATTTACTCTTAGGGAAGATCATGGCATATTTAATTAAGATCCTGGTTGATTGATGTATATTCTCACTTTCTGCAGATGCAGAAATTAGGCTTTAAATGAGGCATGAACGGAATGCTGTAGATCAGTCAAAGCCAGGAACTGTGACTGTGCTTGGTGCTGACCACCAGCCTATAAATTTTTCAATATATTGCAAATAAAGAAGTGTGTGGTCATTAATCAGTTTGATGGAAAATGTGCCCACTGTCAAGAGAACTTCCAGATTTGAAATGCTAGTATAGACTCAGAGGCATTGTGCTGAGCTGGGGTGGTTGGCTGGCTGTTTGCCTGGCAGGTCCAGGTTGCATCCTTGCCTGGCCTGACTTGGACCTAACCTTTTCGTACAGGAATGCTTGCAACCTACCAAGCTGTTGTGTAGTCTAGGTCCTCATGTCTTTTCCATAACATTTTATAAGGTCTTAGTTTCATCCCACTGAGGAAGACCAGAAATAATTTTATATGAGAAATGCTTGTAGGAGGAGGAAGGGGGAATCTCCAGGTCCAAACTGTATCTACATCAGAGCTGTTCCTCTCAAAGGAAAGGCAGCTGTTTGCTCTGCCAACTATTACTACAGTGATCTACAAACCATCCTCTTGGGATGAGAATATGCCCTTTCTTTTCTGGAAAGCAGTCTTACCCTCTCCCTATCCACTCCTCAACCTGCCCATATCTGTTCTCCTTTCCCCATTGCCTCTTTCAAACATGTCACCCCAATTTCTTCACAACAGATTGCCCTGTACTACCTTAGTTTCTAATTGTGCACTGCAAAATGCCTTTCTCCAGGTGCCACCCTGGGCTCCCCTTGCCAACCTCAATTTCTGCCTGCTGCCCACACGAATTCCCCTTGTCCCATGACTTTGATTCAGAGATCACTGCTCCACTGATGAGCTCTGCACTATACAATAACACACAATACAGGTCAGGGTGCTGAGCACTTTATCTGTTCCATACACTCCCCGGTGTGATTTTGCACTCTCTCAGTTGCCACTCACCTCCACAGCTTCAGGCACTGTTGGAAAACCTGTGCAGGCTGGGCACTATCTCTAGTAGTCCATATAGACAAGTCTGTACCAGTTTGGGTTCTCTCCACATTTCCCAGCCCCTCATCAGCATTCCAGCAGGCTTTGCACCTCAAGCTACACTCCAAGTCATGTAAAATACATTTTTCACATTACAAAAGCAGCATTCTGAAGTGTCACAGATGGTGGCTCTTGGGTCCACAGTAGTGGCTCTTGGGTCACAAAGGAGACCTGGCAGCTGTCTGTGCCACTTGGCTGTTGGGTCTGGGTTTCATTTTTGTCTCTGAGCAATTCAGAAGTAGCTGTTCCTGCCATGCTCTAGTTGGGCTTCTTGAGAAGCATGCATAGCTTTTGCCCCTGCTCCACCCTTTGTTTGGCTCACCTTTCTTCAGGGAAGAGGAAAACAGGAGAGAGCAGGACTCTGCCCAGGAAATGCCACACACAGGGATTTCAAACCATGTCTCGTGCAGCAAATTTTCTGTCCCCAGGTGTTTTCAAAGTCTCGTGTTTGTTCTCACTAATTCAAAGGAAATCCTAAATACTTTATATGATTCCCAGAGATGATTAAAAGGGGATGGAGGAAAAAAAAAAGGTAATAGATAGGAGGTCTGCTCTTCCTCTCCCTGCTGTTCCATGGCTGCTTCTGCCCTTCCCTCCCCTTATCAGGGGCAGGGTACAGGGGAACTGGTGGGTGGAGAAAACTTTTCCTCTGGTCAGGAGAGGAGGGTGCCCTGCTCCTGTAGCAACATCAGTTATGGGCTTCCAGGGAGCAGCTCCTCTATTTTGCACATGACACATCCATGCTGTAGAGGTATTCAGTGGGATGGGCTGTAGCTCTTCCATCATAAACATGCACCTAGACAAAGGACTGCATGTTATTTGCACCCAAGTATTTGTAACATACTTGGATGAAGGGACTATAAGTGGAAGGTATTTTTATGATGCTAATGCCACATTTAATGTGGAATGGGCAGCTCTGAACCCATTAACCTTTGCTCATGAGTCTGAATCAGGGATGAGGTAGCTACACAGTATTATTACCATTTGTTCATTATTCATTAGGTATATGAGCATCGTCCTTGCTGGACAAAAGAGCCTCATTAGACAGGAGCTGCACTATCAATGAAAGGTCACAGTATTGATTCACAAAGGGATAGAAAATCCTATGCCATTATTTTTAATTCTGAAATGCCATAAGTCATTTTTGTGCTGTTCCTGTGGTCATCTTCCTTGTGTCACTTGAGGCTGTGGGTTTGCTCATGGTTCATGTGGTCACCAAAGGTTCACCCAATGACATAAAAGTAGCTGTGCTTTTTGTTGAGTGGGGAAACTTCAAATTCTTATTGTTTTCCTTATGTGAAGCAAATGAATAGAGGAACATCAATGCTTTTTTCAGAGGTTTGTCAGAAACATTTTCTGACAAATCTGTGTGGTAGAGATGCCACAGCTTAATTCTTCCCTACTTTACATCCTGAAGGCAGGATAAATTGATAAATTTTGTGGTATTTTTCTGAGTAAATTTATATGAGTTACCATTGCTATCTCATGTGAATATTTAAACTAATTTTTAAAGGATAGAGATAGGCCAAAGATTGCTGAAGGAGAAAGACCCCTGTCCCCAGGAGTCCTTTGGCTTAGCCTCTTAGAGTTCCTCGGGTGAGTGGGACTAGTAGGAGCATGGGGCAGTGGAGGACCTGAGAACACAAAGGAGGCCACATCAGAGACAGCTGGATGAGATCACTGGACAAACGCTGGACTGGTATTAGCTACAGAAGTTGGTGACTTTTAACTATGCTGACTCGACTTGCTACTCATAGCTTGGGACAACGTAGATCTTGTAAACATGACTCAATGGCAGTGACTCAACCATTGCTTCAGTAGTTGAACTGCTGCAAATTTAACTCATTTTTTTTATTATGCTGGAGGTGTTGTTTAAGAGGAAAGAAAAAAAATGTAGAAAAAGCAGAAGGGAAGGGCTAATCTGGCTGTATCTATAGGATTTTTATTTTGTACTTACCACTTCAGTGTATTTTTGCAAAAAATAGTTACATTCTGGAACAAGATACAGCTGTACAAAAGTCCCAGAGTTACTGTTGCCCTGTTCCTAGCTCATCCATGAAAAGGTTTTGTGCCATTGGAGCCACAGTTCTGCAGGCATGAATAATCCTGAGTACAGAAGAGAGTCTGTAGCTCATTTATGTTCAGGAATAACTGTATGCCTTAAAAACCTAATTTACAAGTGCATCACATTTTGGTTTGCAAAGTGACATTAATTGCTGCTGCAGTTACCCATGCCAGAGGCATCTGAATATTTTTTTCTCGTGTCTGTACCTATTTCCACTGTTCTTTTTCAGCAGAAAGAGTCCTTCTGGGAAGGATTTGAGCAGTAAAAGAATGTGGCATTTGAACCGGGATTATTACCTTTTAAGAGGGCAGTGAATCTGATTTACTCGGCGGTGCTGGTGTAGGAGGACAAGCCCGGTGCTGCGTGTTTGTGGCACTGCAGAGCTGCCTGTCGCTGACAGTGACCAATGCAGCCCTCGGTGCTGGATGGCAGCATTGACGTCAGCCCAGAGCTGAGAAATTAGCTGAAGCCTGCAGGGAAAATGGGCAAAGAAAAACCATATAATTTCTCAATGCAGCACAACCGAGCTATTTCTCTTTTTTATATTTTAGCCTATCAGCAAGACCTGTAATGCTTTGCTCAATTTGGATTCAGAGGAAAGGTTGCCAAAAATAGAGCAGTTAAATGTCAACATTAATGGTATCACAGCAGTAAAATATTTCTCACAGCAAGATGCCTGACTTATAGCTATTATTCACTAGTTGCCTCCTATTTTTTAGGCAAAAATACATCAAGTCCTCTAGTCTCAAGCCACCCAGGCTTATTTGGACCAGGAATTTGCCAGCACAAACAGCACATGAGCACAGTAGCAGAACTGCGTGTACTAGTTCAGAGCCAAACCTGCAACCCCTTCCTCACATGAATGACTCTGCCACAAAGTAACTAACAAATAAATATCCAAATTCGTACCACGACCAAACTATAAGTGCTTTGAGGCAGGAACTGCCGTTTGCTTCCATTGTACAATACCCAGATTCACTGCTGGGTTCTGCTTGTGCCACAGCATTTAGGAGTCGCTGTGCCACAAACAGAAGTCAGCTGGGTGTCCTGGCACCTCATCTTCCTCACCTCTGAACATTTTGCAGGAAATGTTTTTTTTCTTTAAAGTCTTAAATTAATTCCTTGCAATTTAATAACCAATACCTACTTGTATCCCTTGTACAATCCAAAACACATGTAGTGCCAGCAGGCTGAATGCAGGACTGATCCCTTGTTTGCTTGTGGACTCTGGCAGGAAACCACCCAAACCATGTTCATCTTCCTTGCAGGAGTACTGAGTGGAGACTTAAATAAGGAATGTAGATAGTTACAAAATGTAATGTATTGTTTAAGCATTTAGCCTGCTAAATGCTTAAACAATTGACAAACTGTGCTCTAATCTCATCTGCAGAGACAGAATTTGTTACAGCCCCAGCTAAAGAGCTTTGAAACTCAAAATCCATCTGGAGCAGAGATGCATGTTTTTTTATTTCTGAAGAAATTAGATCAAGTGTTGAAGTCTGTCTGAGGGCAACAAGTTGCAGAATCCAGTGGACTTTAAGGGTGACTGTAGCCACCCTAAACTGAAGGAAAACAACAACAACAACAATAAAGAACAGCCCCAACCCAAAAGGTGTGATGACTTCACACCAAAGGGTTGATATGTTGAGTTCCAGTTCCTCTTCTTAACCATGAACTTCTGTGTTCTTTCTCTTCTTCCTACTTTGTGGGTTTATTGGTGCTGTCGGCACCAATATTGGTGCAAAGCACCATTATAGACAACCATTATAGACAACCAGGGTGCCTGTTTTTTATCGTGCCTTACAGACCAATGCACATTGCCCCCGGGGCAGGATCCTCAGGAGCTGTAGTGACAGCTGACAGAGCCCAGCCTTGCTGGCCCTCACCTGTATTTAGGAGCAGCACACTCTCATCTACCCTATCCAAGTGCAGGACTGTTCTGCAGTCCAGGAGTGCCATGGCCTGTGTTGCTACCCAGACTGCCAGCTTTTGATATTTTGTTTTTCTCTGCTTCCAGGAGAGAAATACGAGCTGCACGCGGGAACAGAGTCCACTCCCAGTGTGGTAGTGCACGTCTGCGACAGCGACATGGAAGAAGACGAGGACCCAAAGAATTCTCCAAAGCCAAAAATCATTCAAACTCGACGCCCTGGTCTGCCGCCGCCTGTATCTAACTGAGCCTCTCCGGCAGAAGCAGCACTTCTCTCCTCCAGCACAGCTCTTGGTTTTTGTTTGCTTTGTTCTGTTCAAAGGCAGCCATTGCCTTCTGAGTACCGGGACATTAAGGTCATTGAAACCCCTTCACAGTAATCAAGCCTATGTAACAAAAGGGCTAGGAAAAAGATCTTTGTACATGTAACCATATCACACCAACTAATAGATCTAGCTGGAAAGGGCAAAACGAGGCTGAAGAAACAAGGGAGGGTTTCAGTCTGAGGATCTTTTCACAGCTATAATTTGCATGCTGAAACACCACTACCAGAGAGATCGTTCAAGGTGGAAATTAGGCTGATATCAGGCTTGATATTCAAACTCCCAGGATACTTGCTACTGCCTTTCATCAAGCAGCCTGCTCCTCTGCCCTCCTCACTTCCCAGCAGAGAGTTTTTTTCCCTTTTTCTTTTATTTTTTTTTTAAATGGGGGTATGTGTGTTGTTTTTAATCTACTAGCAGCTTGGTCCCAAATCTTCGTTCGCGAAGCCTAGCCATGATGAGCAGCTTGGTGGCCTTTTCATCCCCTGGAATTTTCTGTAAGGAACACTATCTTTGCAATATTTTTAGAAACAGCAGAAAGCCACCCTCTTCCACCAGCAGCTGTAGAGAACACTGGTCTGTCATTGTGGCAGGGATGTGAGACAGAGCTCTCTGGGCTCAGGGGAGAGGCAGCAGCTTCCTGGAGGGTCTGGTGTCTGTCAGTCCTTCTCTCTGAGGAGGAGGGAGACAGAATATCAACAGGGATTGTGGGTTTATCTTCCATCAAGGTATGAGTGGTACTTCTCTCTGAGTCTGAGGAAGAGAAGCTGACTGACTGCTCATTTAAGATGGGATTCCTTGCTCTCTGTCATAGCTGTAAGTTCCAGTAATGATACAGGCTGAATGCTTTCCTAGTGGTGTGGTGAATAGCTGTCAGTAATTACGTGTACATCTCTAATATTCAGCCCTTTTCCCTTCCCACTTCCTGTGCTTCAAAGCCCTTTTTGAGCTGTATGCAGTTTGGGTTTGTGGAGGTGAGGAGAGGTTAGTTGGAGTTCTTTTGTTGGTTTTTTTTTTCTTCTCTTTTTTTAGGCCAAAGAAAACAGGACCATAATTACACACTTGAAATTAGACTGCATGCAACTGAATCCCCTTTTTTCACTCTGTCCTGCATGTTTCTTTCACTTGCAATATATACTGGGTTACAAAAACTGTTCTGTGTTTGCATCATGGCTGACAGCAGACAGATCCCGGATTCCCTGTCTGGCAGATCTTCCATGATGATTTATTTTTTTAATGCGTACTTGTCATTTTGAGAACATATTTTCTAGACATTTGAGCTCAGATTTTGCATATATTTAAGCATGCGCTTAATTTATGCACATGAGTAGTTCCACTGAAATTAATACTGCAGATGTCTAAGGTACAGTGGGATTTTTAAGCTAATTAGCTGCAGCTGTACTCCCCAAGGTGACTCTGAAATGGCACAGTGAGATTCCACAGTTTAAAATCCTTTGCAGGTTAAAATAAGTAAATATATCTTGGAAGTTCACTCTAGGATCTGAAAAGTCAGCTTAGGTTCTGTAATCAGGATTTTTTTGTCATAAAACCTAATGATCTGGTTTCTGAGGGAGGGTTCCATCGCGCCCTTAATTAGCAGCAAGGCTACAAAGCTTCAGCAGGGTCAAGTTCCCTTTGCTGTGGTCTTGGCCTCTGTGGCACTTCCAGGACAACAAGAGTGTTGCTCTGTCAGTGAGGACAGGAGATGGCATTCCCAATGTGCATGGTGAGGATGTTCTGAGAATGAGAACTTGTCATTCTCATATAGTTCATTCTCTGACCACCACAGCCCCCTGATATTCCTGATGAGATGCAGTGCTTTACTTAGCATATATCTATAATGTGATACTTGTTACTGCATTATGGACATCGTGGTGTGTGTGTTACATTCACAGAAGCACATTAACTACAGCAGAGACTGAACGGAAAATGGGGCTTTAATATCCTCATGATGCCTGTGTAAAGTTTTCTTAAAGTAACTCCTTAGAGGTTTCACTTCAATTATTTTTTCAGTGATGTATTTAGAATTGGTTCAAGAAAACAAATTGTCACTCACAGCCCTGAGACTGTACCCTGATGTTCTTGTTGAAAAAACCATCATAGGCCGCACAAGGTATTTCAGGAGTAACACCACTGGCTTTTTTGAGAACATACAGAATGCTGAGGTACTTGGGGTTTAGGCCAGTATAAACAGGGACAGTAAGATTTAAACACGTAAGTGACCAGAGATCATCACCAATCAAAGTGATACTCTGGGTTTTTTTATAGGCAAGACTGTTGGAGGCTGAATCTTGTCCTTGTATCCATGCTCTCAAACTTTGAAGAGACCTGGTTCTGAACACAAGGACTTTGGCCTCAAATGACGTAAAACTATACTGCAGATTAAATCACTGGACCTTAAATGTTCTTTCCTCAAAGTGCATTTTCAGACAGATTTAAAATGAGGCCCTGTTTGCTGACTACTCTGGGCTGTGTAAGGCTGTGTAGTGCTACCCAGGAGGCACTGGGACACGGCTCATTGCTTAAAGCACAGAAATAGAAACACAACTGCAAACGGGAAAATTCAAAGCAGCCTGTTGTAACTATGGTCAAAGGTTATATATCACCTGTATATGATAAAATAATGGTCATCAGAAGGAAAATGTTTCAGGTGTTATGAAATAATGTCCTTATCATCAAAGTCACAGCATTTGGGACTCTTGAGAGAAACTGGTATTTTGCTAAGGGCTAGGTTTTGCCTGGTATGGAAGGAAGGCTTCTTTCAAAAAATGCTGACCATCTGGAAGGGGAACTGTCCTATTTAATTCAGTAAATCAGAGGCAAAGCCCCTACTTTCCCAGTGGGAATCTGCTTTTCTGTAGCATCTCTGAGCTCAGTTGCTCTGACTTGCACTTCTCACAGGTGTCAGTAAATTCTCCTATGTCTTAACCCTGGAAGAACGTTACATTACAGCTCCTGAGGCACAGTGACACAGCTGACATCCTTTTAATTTCCTTCCCAAAGCAGGAGCCAGTGGGAGCAGCTGGCGGCAATGCCCTGAGGCCTCTGTTGGGTGGACAGCGCTCCTGCTGCTCCTTGGAAATTAAAAGAAGGAAATCAGGGGAGTACAGTTGCTGTTTCTGCTGCCTGCTTGTCCTTTCTGACCTCTGCAGATACGAAATTGAAATTTTAATTACTTCCTCAGTACAGGTTAAAGCATGAAAACATTTCCAGTGCATGGAAAAGGGGTATTTTGGAATCTCCTCTTTTGAAAGAGAACAACAAAGAATTTCTGTGGCCTTGATTTTTGAAATTAAGACAAGGTAGTACAAACCCCCATTCCTAACATAAGCAGGCACACTCCAGTACACTTCGTTTTTGGCAGGAAAACACGGCAAGATCATCCCTTCCTCTACTATAACAAGACACCAGACATAGTTACTGTAAAGTGCTTTATATTATAAAAATTCTCCCCATGGATAAACTGTGTAGCATTTATTTGATCCTAAATTGGGTGAGAGGGGTGGGTTAGTTATATTTTGGTCTTTTCCCCCCTCCCTCCCATTCAGCAACACCGAAAAAGCTTTTTGCAAAAAGACAGACTGTCGTTTGTACCGAGGAATGGACCGAACCACCTCACAAGATGTGATTCCAGTGGTTTGTCTGAGCACTGCCACAGATGCCATGAGCGTTTCCATTGCATTGTACATACTTTTGAAATATTCTATTTAGTCATATTTTATAGGACTATTAAAAAGCTACTGCCTAATTAATCACTTTTACACTTGTGTAATTCAGAGCTTAGTTTAAAATAATAAATATGGCAAACAGTATTTTTGTGTTCTGCTTGCATTGGCGTTTGGAAAAGCAACATTTAAAGAGTTAAACTATATCAGTAAACTGAGTAGTGTGGTGTATACCTCTGGTAGAACTGAAAATGCTTAAATGTGTGACATAGGCCAAACTCCGTTTCAGTAGAAATTAGAGAAAAAGGAGTTGGCAGGATATCCCATGTTCCATTTTAAGCTGCTGCAGTTTCAGAGTCATGTGAACTTGCTCTGGTTTGCTGTGGATTTGGCTCAATGTACACAAGAAGAACTGTAGCACAGTCCCTGGTGAACAAAAGCACGTCCCTGACCTGATGTCGTTCTCACCATGCTTTTATAGTCATGGGTGATGCAGTGGGCATGAGTGCTTGGACAAGGAACATGGCATTCAGCTGCCAGCCAGGCTGGGGAAAGTTCTAATAACATTTGTTGTTATAAAAATTCAAATTAATTGTTCGTTGTCTCTTGCATCAGTTTGTACTGGATCTTGCAAAGGACTGGAAACTGGGAGATGAGTTTGCTGATAACTGTCCTGTGAAATTCTTATATTGGATTTGGAAAAAAATTTTTTTTCTGTGTGCCTGGCATAAAAGACTTAGTTTCTCAAAAGATGATTGTTCATGATTACAAAAATTAGATCTGCTCAAGAAATCTTGCTGGAGATGTAAACTATGAGCTCTTTGACTCCTTTGGAAAACACAGGCCTTAACCACTGTGTTTTATTAGAAAAAGCAGTAATAGTGAACTTCTTCTGGAGTACTTTAGAGGTGAAATGTAGGAGGCCTGGTTTATTCTTCACTTGGAGCACCACACGAGCTTTCCCTACTACAGTGAGATTCTCCATCCAACCCAACTGAAATGCTCTGTTACTGACATGCCAGTTGTGGCTCTTCCATGGTACTTGGCACTGGATGCAGCACTGGGAAATGAGCTTCAGAGCTTCAGCTGTGAGTGGCAGAGAGCTGTGTGTCCCAAAGGATCGGAGGCTGATTATGCTTTCAGATGCTCTAAAGAACCTTTACTGAATTTATTATTGGTCCTCCTTTAGTGGCAAACATTTTACCACTAAAATTTTAGCTGCTTCAGGCTTTCTCTCACATACCAGTATGAATTTAAGACCTTTGCATTTCCTTGCTTCCTCTCTGCCTAAGAAATTACATTTAGTTCTGTTTTACCAAAAATCAAAACCAGGTATGGACTGAAGTCCCAGCTAGACCCTCATTTATACTTGCCCTCACACAAAGCTCTTGAATAATTTGTTACGCTAGCAAAAAAAAAAAAAAAACAAAACCAAAAAAACCCCAAACCCACAAAAAATCCAAACATGGCTTTTCCTGGTTTAGCCCATCTTCTAGGGGAGCACAGCAGCTTTCAATATTCCAGCCTCCTCTTAAAAGGAGATGTTTTTCTAATATGAGCTGTGCTCTTTTTCTAAGTACATGTAAACTGCAACATTCAGGGGTAAAATGACCGGGAGGAAATGTTGTAAAAGCTCTTTCCCACAGGTCTGTTTGAACTGTGGAGTATATTTGCTTTGGCTTGGAGGGGAGGGAAGCTGGCACTGTTAGAGGCAGAACAGCAGCAGCACTCCCATAGGATGGGCAAGAACCTCGAATGCCTCCACTGCAGAGATGCTCAGAAAACTTTAAAAACCACACCAGCCTGAATTCTCTCTCCTCTTCTGTCAGTTTGTTCAGTCACTACACAGAGGTTCTGAGGCTGCAGCAAGAGTCATCTTAATACAGGAGTATGTCCTGGTGCAGCAAAAGCCTAGATGGGGGTTGTTTGTTAGTGAGATTCTTACTGGAGTCAGGCGGGGAAAGCTGTGAAGTGTGAGTAGTCTCAAACGAAAAATAAAGCTATTCAGAACCTTAAGACAGACTTCAAGATTCAGATCCACGTAACTGAGAGCTGTATTAAGGGCCCATTTGGGTCAGGGGTTTCCTCACATCAGTAAGAGTATCCAGCAAGAAGGATTAAACTTCTCTATTATTCTCACCAGAAAATCAGCCAAATTATTGTAACTGATCGTTTATCTAGTGCGAGAAAGTTGTGTCTACATTAGTGTCACACAGATGTGTTCTCTTCACTGTTGGGTTAATGAAGGTAAATGTTTTGAATCCATTTTAGAGCAGAGTTCTTGTTCAGAAACTTCTGAAAGAAATGCCATCTGTAACGACTGACGGATCCTTAAGTGTCAGTTTGGCAAGTTGTCCTAATGTGGGTAGCTGCAGAAATATTTCGTGTATGTTGTTGTAGATTTAAAAGCATTACTCATGGTTTCATTCGAGTGTCTGCACTTCTGACACGGATGTGACATATCTGTATATATTATAAATCAATACTATTTTTAACCACATATTTTGTACAAATATTCACATTAGCTCTGTACTTCAATGAAAATCTACTATGGTATTAAACATTTTGGTGGAATTAGCAAACTCCTTGCCTGTGCTTTGTTTTCATTTTATAATGGTGTTAAGCAGCTGAGCCCTTTCTGGCATCCAAGACAAATATTATCACTTCCAGCTATTTAGAGCAGTTCCTTAAATCCAGGTACACCTGTACCCTCTAGTGACTGATCCCAGCCACTGCAGAGGCAGCTCCCCACACGTCCAGATCTGAGTGAGAAGCCAAAATCAAATCCGAAACAACAGTAAATGTGAGCACAATTTTTCCTAGCTAGTGAAAGTAACACTGTGGTACAGCACATTGCTGTTGAGGGACACCCAACTTGAGATTTCAGTACACACAGGTGGAGTTCTTTAATTACTTTTATTTTTACAGCTTTCTCCAAAGCTTTTGGTACAGGTCACGACGGGGAATCGGATCATGAATTTTGTCCTATACATGTGGTCCAGCTCAGTTTCCAACTGTACAACAGCCTACTACCACAGCAGCAACGTACACCTCTAGTCTTGTTCTGGTCTCAGGCTCACATGTGTAACAGAACCCTAATGAAGGAGGAAAAAAAGAGACATTAAGAAAACAACTAAAAGAACTAAAAGAGCAGGGTGAGGGGGAGGAAGGTATCACATATACCTGTATGTATATATACACACACATACATACATATCTACCAGATAGGCATGCCAGCTATAAAGTGATTAATAAGGTGCATGTACCCATGCATCATTAAGAGGATACTGGTTTTGTACACTGCCGTGAAGTGGGGTGGGGTTTGTGTTCATACAGGGCGTAGGCTGTGGACCCATACATGGCACAGATCCTCAACTAGGAAAGGTGGGAATGGGAAACCCAGTTTGGATTTTTATCACATTCAGCAGTTCAATTTGTCGTGAGATGAAGAGGGATAAACTCATTTTGCTCTTCATTCCAGGGCATGGCTGTGGGTCTGAACACCAGAATGCGGGAAAAAAGTATCTGGCAGGGAAAAAATGCTCATAACCCATCTAGCCCTGCCTGGGCCCTGTTTCTATATAATTTCTATTTAATTTACAATATGAAGCAACACCCTTACAACCTGCCCCTCTTGACACCTGCAGAAGGGCTGTTCCAGCGAGCTCCTCTCCCACCTCATCATGGTGGGCAAACACTGTCCTGAGGTCACCTCACACCCTGGGGGTGCTGGTTGGCAGTGGCTGAACATGCGCCAGTGTGTGCCCAGGTGGCCAAGAAGGCCAATGGCACCTGGCCTGTGTCAGCAATAGTGTGGCAGCAGGACCAGGGCAGGGATTCTACCTCGTTACTCGGCACTGCTGAGGCACCTCAAATCCTGTGTCCAGTTCTGGACCCCGCACTTCAGGAAGGACATTGAGGTGCTGGAGCGTGTCCAGAGAAGGGTAACGGAGCCGGGGAAGGGTCTGGAGTGCACGTCCATGTGAGGAGCAGCTGGGGGAGCTCAGCCTGGAGAAGAGGAGGCTGGTGGGGGGGGACACACGACACCTTTTCACTGTCTACAGCTCCCTGACAGGAAGGCGTAACCAGGTGAGGGTCGGTCTCCCAGGAAACAAGCGACAGAACAAGAGGACACAGCTTCAAACTGTGCCGGGGGGGGTGGATCAGGCTGGACTTCAGGAAAAATTTCTTCACAGAAAGTGTGACTGGACATCGGAACGGGCTGCCAAAGGAGGTGGTGCAGGGACGGTGTTTAAGGAAACACTTAGTGTCGTAGCCTAGCTGACATGGTGGCGTTCGGTCACAGGCTGCACTCGACGATCTCACAGCCCTTCTCAAGCTAATTAACTCTGTGGCTCCGCGACTCCGTGACCCCCTCACGGCCGGACCCGCCTCACGCCCGGCACCGCCCCGCGCGCGCTGAGTGACGGCCCCGGCGGCCACTCCCGGCGCCGCCGCCGCCGCTGCGCCCGGGGCGGTGCCGGAGCCTGACCCGCTGCTCCGCGGGCCCGCAGGTAACGGGGGGAGCGGCCCCGGAGAGGGGGGTGCTGGTGGTGGGGTGGGGGTTCCTGGCGTCCTCCAGCCCGGCTCTGACACGAGGTTCTGGGGGCTGCCGAGCGGGGAGCGGCGGCCTGGGCTCGGCATTCGCGAGTGCTGAGCTCCGGTGGCCGCCGAGCGCGGCCCGCGGTGTCTGTGTGTCCGTGTGTCCGTGTGGCAACTCCTGACATGGGCACACCGGTGGCTTTGTCCCCCCAGAGCCCCTCTGGTCCCCAGGGCTTTGTTCTGCGGAGTTCTGGAGAGACCCGCGTCAGTAGATGGGTTTAGATTGTATCCAGGGAAGACCGGTATAGGAAGGCCTTAGGGGAAAATAAAAACCAACAAACCACTCATCATTTATTATCTATTAAAAGCGTGCAATTGAGGAATTAGAATAATAGAATCATAGGTCACATGGAGATCATTAACTGTGTAAAGTTCAGAAGTAAAGACTTGATTTTGCTTGAGAGGACTTAAATCCGTATTTGTCACTCCCCAAGGGAAATTGAAGGGCTACATTTAATTTGGCAAATGGGGTTCAGATGGACACAGCAGCATGTTCTCCCTTCCTTCATGTTCAGCTGGAAGAAATCCTCCATCGGGAGAAACTGGGAGATTCTGTAGCCTTTGGGGCTGTGCTGTTTGCTGAAAGGGGAATTACATCTCCGAAGTGTCAGTGTATTCTTAACAGAACTCAAGGCCTGGATTTTAATTTTGGGAGGCACACAAGCTTGGTGTAACATTTGACTGCCTGCAGTTCTTAAAATCCTAGAATCACAGAATGCTTTGGTTTGGAAGGGACCGTAAAGCTCATCTAGTTTCAACCTCTTGCCATGGGAATGGACACCTTCCACTAGACCAGGTTGCTCCAAGTCCTGTCCAGCCTGGCTGAGAACAATTCCAGGGATGGGGGAAACCACAACCTTTCTGGGCAGTCAGCAGTGCTTGTGCTGTTTTCAAGTGTAAATGTATATATGAGAGAGAGATTGAGGAGAATCAGAGGAACTGGGGAATTGGAGTGGTAAAACTTCCCATGGAATATATCTTGTATTCTGCCAGAATGACAGATCCTATTCCGTCACTGCAGTGGTATTCAGATGCTTGTTACAGTATAACTTTTTATATTAACTAGGACAGTTATGTACTCTGAATATAAAGATGATTTTATGCATTGCTGTTTTCCAGCTGAATTTCGGTAGTGACTTGTCTCAGAGGATTGCTGAAAAGTGGGAACCTAAAGGGAACTGTGTGGAGTATCGGTGCAAGATTGTATTGAGGAATATCTGGTCTTGTGGTTAAATGATGCTGTTGAGCAAGAAGTGGGGAATATAAGCATGAAACTTTAGGTCAGTTACAGACAGGGAAGTCCCATGTGAGGATTCTTACAGTGATCTTGCTTTGAGAAGATAACTGAGTTTTGAACAAGAGGGTGTTTGGGAAGGGCAGAAGGAAACTGGGGCAGGGGAGCACAACCCAATACAATGTGAAATTATGTGTCCTATTATGTCATGCTGTTAATTAAGGAATTCCAGTCATAGGTAGGAGTCAATACCCTTGAGTCGTATGAACAGAATTAAAATCACAGAATGGTTTAGGTTGAAAGGGGCCTTAAAGGCCCTCTAGTTCCAACACCCTGCCATGGGCAGGGTGCCATTAGACCAGGGTCCATTAGACCAGGTTGCTCCAAGCCCTGTCCAGCCTGGCTGAGAACAATTCCAGGGATGGGGCATCTTCAGCTTCTCTGGGCAACCTGTGCCAGAGTATCATCACCCTCACAGTAAAGAATTTCTTCCTAATATCTGATCTAACCCTGCCCTCTGTCAGTTTAAAGCCATTCCTCCTTGTCCTGCCAGTCCATGCTCTTGTAAAATACATAAGATATAAATACATAAGGAATATTTTAGCTACTCATTCTTAAAACTAAGTTATGACTTTAACAAAACATGTTAATACAAACAAACCTTCTGTCTCTGCTCAGCAGATGCCATGTTGCCTCAGAAGATACCTTCCAGAATAGCCATGAGCTGTTATTGGAAAGTCCTGGGAATTTTATTACTATTTCTTCAAAGTGCGCTGTCTCTCCAGCCCAGAGTGCTGCTGGTATCTTTCGATGGATTTCGATGGGATTACATCTATAAAGTCTCAACTCCCAATTTCCATTATGCCATGGAGAACGGGGTTCATGTCAAGCAGGTCACCAATGTGTTCATAACAAAAACGTACCCCAACCATTACACCCTGGTGACTGGTCTCTACGCAGAGAGCCACGGCATCGTCGCTAATGAGATGTACGATCCTGTTCTGAATGAAACCTTCTCTCTGACCAAAATGAATACCTATAACCCCAAGTTCTGGGAAGAGGCCAGCCCGATATGGATAACGAACCAGAGGAAAGGACACAAGTCCGGCGCAGCCATGTGGCCTGGAACAGACGTGAAAATACACGGAGTGTTGCCCACACATTATATGCCCTACAATGAAACCGTTCCCTTCGAAGACAGAGTTGCCAAGCTTATTGAGTGGTTTACATCAGAAGAGCCCATAAACTTTGGTCTCCTTTACTGGGAACAGCCTGATGAAATGGGACATTTTCTGGGCCCAGACAACCCACTTATGGGACCGGTAATTAGTGATATTGACAACAAACTGGGATATCTCATCTCCAAGCTGAAGGCGGCGAAGCTGTGGGGTGTGATAAATGTCATCATCACCAGTGATCACGGGATGTCAGAGCTGTCCTCAGAGAGGGTCATTGAGCTTGATCAGTATGTGGACAGAGACCTCTATAAAGTCATTGACCATTCTCCCGCAGTAGCCATTTTGCCAAAAGAAGGTAGGAGCTACAGCAGTAAAATTGTCTGAAGAGATACTTAAGTATCCAAACTTTATAGACATCATTCCCTAACTGAAGTGGTGGTAGCAGCACTGATGCCAGTAGGACATCAGCCTTGAACAAGGAGTACTTGCAGGATCACTTCTTTATTCTTTTTGCTAGCTCAGTCAAAAGCCTGGATTAATTTTCTGAAATGAAAAGGGAGCAAATCTA